AGCAGACTAGCACAAGACCCTTTCGAGATTCATTTGTAAAGGGCAAAAACGAGGACGTTTCAAAGTGGACTGAAACGTTTGAGGACAGCTGACATCTGTAGTGGATCCAAGTTTCAGTGTCGACGATCTGCAATCGACTTGCGTTTGTAATCTCTGCTCCTGTCTTTTAAGACATGATAGTATATAGCACGAAAATGCAGAAAATACAGAAACTGCTACAGTATGCTTATTCTATTGACAGTCGCCTTGCTGCTTTGTGCGTGGTCAAAGCAGCCGATATCTCTTGTCCAGGCAGTACGAGTTTAGTAAATACTAAACTGCGCGTCATTCATGCCGTAATATACACTGTAGTTACAGCACGTACAGTACCCGAAGGGTACATAAAGCATCTTGTTAGTTGCCACGTGTCGTACAGTACAAGCTATCTGTCATCCCCGTCCGTCGTCCACTCCGATAAGTCCGAATAGCTCTCATGCTCCTCCGACTTTACCACTATGGCTTTGTCTCGGTCCGGATCATGGCCGACCAATGCTTGATTCTCCTCCACCGACGTGTCCTTCTTCCGCCGGATGGGCTTACCGCAACACATATACCTCTTCGCCAGCACGTCGACGAACACGCCCACGACCATCATCACCGCCGCCACGACCACAAACACGATGCCCACCGGACGTACATTTTCCACGGTGCGACACTCCGCGAGCCACATCTCAGCGACGACGCTCTCCATTGCCGGGCTGACGTCGGTCATCCTCGTCACCACGCTCGCAAACCTCTGCCCCGAAATCGCCATCAGCTCCACGCCCTTGATTGCCATCGGCAGCGCTGTGAGCACGTCACTCATAAAGCCATACACAATCAGCGCCGGCAAGCTGACCTCCGCCACCAACGCCACCGGCACGACATTTAAAACCATCGGCAACGCCAGTATGGCGATATTACTCGCACTGGTGGCGTCTTGTACCTGTCGCACAGAGATATCCGCCTTACTCATGGCGTCCCTGAGGGCCAAGTGATCTTCGATGTTATGCACGCCCATCTGGAACGGACGGACAGCTCCCCTCCACCTAACGATGCTGGTACTCGCATTCGGGGTAGCCTCCTCTCCATCACCGCCGCGCACGGGCAGCGTCATGCGCGCACTGACAAGCATTCCATTATCGCTCCTTACAAACTCATCCACGAACGCGCGGGCGTAGTCTGGGAGCCAGTCATCGCTGGGCTCGTTCGTGATCTGGAGCCTTGCGTACCACTCTCCCCCCACGCGGATAGCTGTCTCGGCCGCGACGCGGCACGTGAGGCCGGCGCGGTCGAAGCGCCACGCGACCTTGTTCTCCGCGCGGTGCCACGTGAGGCCGACCAGTCCCGCGAGCTGGACGGCGATGTCGGAGACGGCCTGGCCGCGCGCGCGCACGAGGGCGTCTAGGTGCGAGAGGCGGACGTCGACCGCGTCCGGCAGGCCGAAGACGTCCGTGACACAGATCAGGCCGGGCGCGGCCCAGCCGCGGTTGGTCATGAAGTTGGCGCGGGCTTTCCTCGCGCGCACGTTGCACGTGGCGAAGGGTGACGACAGGGGGAGGGCGCCGCGGTTGGCGTTGTGCGCGCGGTGCACAGCGAGAGAGATGTTCTCGAAGACTGAGAGGAGCGTTGACGTGGAGGCGATCAGGGGCTGGTGCGTGCTGGCCAGGGCGGCGAGGGGAGAGGTGGTCGAGATGGCGTGGATGCGGCCGCGCATGTAGGGGGGGAGGTTCACGCGGACGGCCTTAGATGGCGGCGGGGGGAGGAAGAGGAGGGAGAGGAAGAGGAGGGGGAAGCGGAGCATGGTGGGGGGAGGTGGGGCGGCGTGCTGGGGGATTGTTTTCCGGGGTGAGTTGCTTAACGAATTTTGTGGGGATGTTTTCAGGGCGTGGGAATGGGCCATGGAGAGTAAGGAACATGAGAGATGGCACCGGTGCAGAATGACAACGACAGCACGTTTTGCCTTGCTGGCATTGATCTATGGGCAGGCAGGCATTTGTTGGTGTGATGTGATCCCGGACTTGTATAATACAAGCACGTGTACGACGTGTACAGTACGAACACTGAACGCATTTCCAATAATTTTTTCAACCAATTCATTCATGCCAAGTTTCAGGGTGCTCGGGTGCTGCTGGCACGGCGAACTCTTCGTTAGGAACGGCCGTGACCGGGGGTCGAATCTACGTATGCCGCCAACCCACAGTATATGATTTGATTTTCATTTCAATACAGTACCGTTTGGGTAGGTGAACACGTGGCAACGAGTGTGCAATGCCCCACAGCAGATCAAAACCAACCCCCCTTTCTCATTGAACACGTCATCCACGTATCCACGCGCACGCGCACCACACGTGGCCAAGGGCCAGACCAACCTGTCTGCAAGTCTCACCAAAACCCCCCCTCCGCGTCCTCTCGTTCCGCGCCTCACACCAAGGGAAAGCTCCTCCACCGTCTCGTTATGGAAGACCACCGCCGGCTCATCCGACATCCCCCCTTGCTCATGTACAAATTTTAACCCCCCCCCCCCCACCCCCCCGCCCCCTCGTCCGCTTCCTCTACCCCGTCTCCATGCGCACCCTCCTACCACCACCACCATGCGCACCCTTGCCGCCACGCTGACGCTCGCGCTCTTCCTCGCGCTCTGCGCGGCCCAGGAAGAAGAGCTGCCGGCCTGGGTGCACAACCGCATCTTCTGGGTGTCCTCCGCAAGCCCGATGGCGCGCATGCTCTCGCGTTCCCCCACGCTCGTTTCAACGACGCGCGTGCTACTCTCGTACATCGAACACGTGGAGCGTGCCGTGCTCACCTCGACGCAGCGCCGCACACCCGCGCCGCCGGACGACCCGCTGCGCCCGTGCAACCGTGCGGGGACGGGCTGGGCGAACTCCGTCGCCGTGCACCACCTGTACCGCGGGTGGCCGTCACCGGCGACGTCGTGCATCACGGAGCTGCACGGGACGCGCACGTCGCCGTCGCCGCCGCGCTTCGACTCGGACGCTGTGTACGCCGCTGTCGACGCGCGCGCAGCCGCCCTCAAGGCCGCCGCAAGCGCTGTCGCGGACGAGGTGCTCGGCAACTGGACGCAGGCCGACGCGCTGCACAACGCGCCGTACACACGGCTGAGGCAGAGATGCGTGCTCGACGCCGTCGGCGCCGTGCGCGTGAGCGGCAAGTGGGCGCTGCTTACCGGCGTGACGAACGCCCCCGTCGACGACCAGCTGCCGGACTTTGGCCGGCAGACGCTCGCGGAGTACCTGTATGCGGATGAGGGGGGCGTGCTGCGCGCGCGGAGCATGCGGCTGCCCGTGCGGCCGGAGGGGGGAGGCGACGTCGCGTACGAGCAGGGCGCGACGACGGCGCTGGCGAGCTGGCGCGGGAACGCCAATCCGTCGAACTTCATCAGGACGCTGCCTGCGGATAACGTGGCGATGCAGGCCGCGCTGGACGCGGGCGCGCTGGACGCGCAGCAAGCGGATGACGCGATGACGATGAGCGGGGTGGCGCTGCTGGCGCTGCCCGCGCTGCTCAACGCGGTGCCAGTGGCGCTGGTGGCGCACGTGGGCGCGCTGTCGATAGTGCTGTACACGGTGCTCAGCGACGTGGTGACGGTGATCCCG